TCCTATTCTACTTGTAATTTTATAGGCGCGTATAATCGTTTGTTCAGATAAATACACAACCCATACCAATTAAGGCGGGTTCCGGCGGCGCCAAACCACGAGTCAAATTCGCTAGCTCGGTACTCTACTCGCGCCGTGGAAACAAAAATTGTAGGTCCGTCATGTCCGTACCATAGGAAACGAGCCGCGCATTTAATAGCGTTCCCCAGGTGTGGATTTTTATTTTATTACATATTGTGTGCATTTTGATTACACATTCGACATCGATGTACATTTTTTTGGTTTTTTTAAATTTGAAATATTTAGTTATCACTGAACTAAATTAAAAAAAAAAACATGTAATATTCCAACGATAAGTTTTTGGAATTATATGAAGCCCAACCTCAAATTTTGTTTTTCATCTAATTTTTTTTTTTACAAATAATCATCATCTGAATAATAATAACCTGATAATAATCATCAATCTGAACGGAACTAATTTCATGTTCCAAAAACACCGTAGATATTTTATTAAACTGTTAACCTGATTTCTATAATATTTTATAATTATATAAATGTTTACCTTAAAACGTTATTAACTCATTAATAATTTAAATATAGCAATTTAAAATAGCGGTTTTACAAAAGTAGCATTATCAAGAAGTTAATAAAAATAAAAATAAAAATAAATTTTGTTGCGATCGCAGTCGATAAATAATATATCACTAGTCAAGAATTAATTAACATACGTAACTTGAAAATATACATAAAATTATTTTGTTAAATTTAATTGATAAACATAATTTGAATGGAATAATACGATAACAGCGATATTGTAGTCACCAATCCTTGCTGGCAAATAAAGATTGTCCAAAGCAGTTAAATAAACAAACTTTTAATTGTTTGTATCTGAAATAGATATTCTAGATAATTTTAAAAATGACAACAGATTTAGTACAAAAATATTCACAATTAATACAATCTTTTTTTCCCTTTAGTAGTTATTGTATAATATAGATTTTGTGGGACTTTAAAAATATACAAAATTTATCTAAAACTCCATCTTATCTATCAGAATTGCTAAATAATTGTAATGAAAATTACTATTATCAAAAATCTTTAAAAATCGTGGAACTTTACCCATTACAAAAGCTACTGCAGAAAGGTAATTTTCGACATTGCGACGTTTAAAACTTATATCAGAAATACCATGGCAGAGAATCGTTTTAACGGATTAACTCAGCTAAATACTCACAGGAAAATTAAAGTTAATCCAGAAGAAGAGTAAATTGAAGGATACATTGACAAAAAGAAAAAGAAAAATTGATGTAATATTGTAATTAGGTAATAACTATTTTAACCCTGGAAATTCGAATTTAATATATATTATGTATTTTATTAATTATGTTTAATATATTGTATTTGTTTAAACACAATTAATTGATTAATTTCATTTTTTCAACATATGCTATATTTTTACAAATAGTAAGTTTAAATTTGCTCAATCCCCCCCCCCCACATAAAAAGTTCCTAGATACGCGCCTGATCGGTATTTCTTATTTTTAATTGTATGGTATAATTGTATTAAATTGATTACACTTTTTTGGTTTCTGAAAATGAAAGTTTTTGTATTTGATGATCTGTAAATAATTTCAGTAATTTTGTGTAATTTAATATAATATCGATAGTTAGGTTTTACATTTTGGTTTAAATATATTATTATTGGATTTGAAATTGATTATCTCGATTGCCAATATCTTATAATTTTCATTTATTTATTATTGCTTTAATTAAGGTTGTAAATAATTTAGATTCTTTCAGATGAATTTTATTGCATTTTAATTGACCCAAAATTGTAAATAATAGACTGAATTAATATTATTCATAATTATTTTTATTTATTAACAATTTAAGACGATTTAACCTCTTGAATAAGTTAATAGGTAATAAGTGATCAATCAAAAATAGAATTTTATGTAAATATAATGTTTATAATTTTAATTAATACTTTATAAGTGGGTTAATCAATTTCGTGAAATATGTTGTACAGAAATAAATTTATATGTAATAATTCTTATCGTTAGTTTCTAAATTATTTTTTTCAGAAAATGTCATTTCGGTTACTCGGAAACATTTTTCATTTAATAAATTATTTAGAAAATTAGTAAAAATACTCTTGTAAGTACAGAGAGCCCGACACCGATATCAGAACCGGATCATCGTCATAATTAGAGCTCGAATGTTAATGACCAAAATTTCATAAAAATATGCACTATAAAATGTTAAATTATGTAATTAAGTATGCCATAAAATGTATTAAATATACCTATTTTTGCAACAAATATATACAAAAAAATAATTATTATTAATTCAAAAAATGTATATACTCGTTTGAATGTGTATTTAAAATACTTTATTACAAAAAAAAAAAAAAAAAAAAAATAGAGCTTATAAATATGAAAAAACATATTAATTAGTTTTCAATCTATTAAATTTTACATAGGTTAAGGACTTTAAGTATCAGGATTACAATGCCTTATAATAATATGGACATATTTAATATTATACTTATAATTTATAAATTTGATGTTACTTAATTTAGAAATAATCGATATATCTATTTATATGCTCAAAAATGTCAAATATGCAAAAATATGCAAGATAAATTTGCATATTTGCAATCGAGATATCATGAATCGAATTTATAATATAAATAATATTATCATATTAGGGTATAACTCTGGTTGCGCGAAAAAATCTGCCAAGTCATAAACATATGAGCTCTAGTCATAATATAAGAGGGTCTGTTACTTTTGTTGAAGCCCTTTTATCCAAAATAAATTTCATTTTTTATTCAGATTTAGTAATCTGTCATTAATATTAATTAAAATTAGTTCAGTGTATATTTACATTATTGTATAATCATAGTTAATTGAAAAAACAGTAATTTATATTTGTTAGCTAATGATTAGGTTGCGTGTACAAACTTGACGAGCGCAGTGCGTCGAAAAAAAAATTTACTCATATTATTTATCAGTGAATACTTTTATTACTAGCGGCGAGCCGTAGCGTCGCGGCGCGTCACAAATGTTTGATAAATGTTAGTTTGAATTTCGCCGCTTGCACAAAAATAATCTCAATTTTTTAATTTCTACGCCAATAAGCAACCTTAAAATAATAATCATTTGTCTATTTTACTATTTAAAGAATTGTACCAAATTTCCTTAAATTTCCCAAATAATAGGTAATTAGTAAATTTCTGTTGTAGACAGAATACCAACCCTTTATTTAAAAAATATTTTATTGTGTAAAATTGGATTATTTAACAAAATTGATAAACGGTTTACTGACATGATTGCAACTTAAAGTATATAATCGGAATGAAGCTGAAAAATACGATGTGCATTTATATTTTATATCAAGACGCTCGCCGCTCACTCAACTTTAGCCCTGCCGACTTCTATCTGTGAAATATAAGACCTTACTTATTTGGAAATTGAGAAATTATTACTCGGCTAATGGATGACACATACATTTAGACAATTAAGAAAATTACATTTCTATAGCAGCAATTTATTATATTATATTATTACAATAAAAATTACATTGAAAATTCTTGTGCCTCTTATATTTTGACCAAAAAATTACCTTTTTACGGCTAATACTTTTGGGTTTTTCAAGAATACAACACATTTCATTCGTTTCAATATAATGACCATTTGGTCTTAATGTCTTGGTCCTTCCGGCTTAATCTCAAAAATATCTGTTAGCTATAGAATTTAATAAAATTATAGGGGTTCTTATATGGTACTTGCCAATCAATCTTATAATTGATTCTAAAATGTATTTTTAGATTCTGAATTATTAGAAATATGTTGAGTTTTATTTTTGATATTATGTTTTATTTATTCGGTAGGATTGTACCTAAATATAATTTAATAAAATAATGTAACTTTAAATAATTTAATTTATATATCACATATGCTTATTGTAAAATTTACCCTTACAGATTGTATATTTTCTAAAATAAATTTAAAAAAAAAAAAATCATTTAATTTAGTTAGGAACTCAACAATTTGTATACAGTTTGCATTATTTTTTTGAAACATTAATATATAATATCATATCCAGATCACAGAAACTTTTATCGGAAACATATGTTTCCAATATTGTCGTCATTCACAAAGTTTATGAAAATGTTTAAAATTTGTTACTTACATTATTGGTGACAAAATGTTGTTACTGGCCGAGTAAATTTCAATAGATGTTTATCAACATTGTCGTCGAGAATGTATTGGAGTGTCCAACACATCGATATGAATGAACGTGTTTTTATTACATGTTTTTTATGACTCTCCCAATTTTGATATTTTTAAGACTATTATTTTGAGTTCAGTTTTAGAGGTTTGACGTGAATTGACATGAATCTGTTTGTTTTAATAATTCATATTTATTATATTCTAATTGAATTCACTATATATCTGTATAATATATTTTATTTACATATTTGATATTTTGTGCCAACAAAAAACGCAATGGAGTTAACTAAAAAAAAATATTTGTTTATACATTGATTTATATGAAAGGTCAATATATATATATATAATGGAACCAAACGCGGTCAAATGATAAAATTAAGTATATAAAAAATGTCATTCTCAAACCACAAATTGGTAAAGAATAAATATTTATTAAATTTGTTGCTCAGGTCTCGACGTGCGTTTTTAAATTAAGTCAGAAACATTCCGATGCATTTTGTAGACAACAATGTTTCTTGGTGTGAAAGAGCTTAATACATTATATTTATAAATAATATATATATTACTCGTATATATAAGATATTTACATATAAGAACATCTTAATATCCTAATAAATGTTTATAGGTTTTTCAAATGAGTTTTTTTGTTTATCCGTGTATTTTTAAGCCCATATTTGAGTGGTACAAGAAATATTTAAATAGGTAGTGAAACAAACTGTTTACACATTTCAAAAAATGTATTTAATTTTGATTAAATTTCAGATTGGTTTTAAAGGATTTAACATTAGTAAAGATAAGTTGAACGCTAGTGCTGAATTTGAATTCAACAATCAAAAATATACTTTAAGACACGGATCGGTGGTCATTGCCGCCATCACATCGTGTACGAACACGAGCAATCCCAGTGTTATGCTCGGAGCTGGTAAACAATTAACGAAATAGATACGTTTTGTTACTGTTTATATTTAGTCGATTACGTATTTTTTTATTATTTTTTCTAGGTCTATTGGCTAAAAACGCCGTCGAAGCTGGTCTGTCTGTTGCTCCGTACATTAAGACTAGTCTTTCGCCCGGCTCTGGAGTGGTCACATACTATTTAAGAGAGAGCGGTGTTACACCAGCTTTAACACAACTTGGTTTCGACACCGTCGGATTCGGTTGTATGACTTGTATCGGAAATTCTGGCCCGTTGCCTGAGTCTATTGTGAACGCTATCGAGTCGGTTAGTCAGATGCAAATTAAATATATTATTATTAGGATTTGTTTTCCTAAATTATTAAATTGAAATACCCCCAAAATCTATCCCAAAACCATATTGAATACATTTTTTCTAAACCAATTATTTTATTTGTACTTCTTTAATACTTATATTTTTAAATCAGAATTTTATTAGCAATTACACATTTGTATGGAATATTTGTATTGTCGTACTGGAGCTGAATCTCAGTTGATTTATTATCTTCATTACCCCCTCCCCTTTAATAATTACAAAACCTATTGCTAAATACTATAATTGTATTATTATATTCAGAATGATCTCGTTTGTTGCGGTGTTTTGTCGGGCAACAGGAACTTTGAAGGCCGTATTCATCCGAACACACGTGCTAACTATTTGGCTTCACCATTATTAGTGATTGCATATGCCATTGCTGGACGTATTGACATTGATTTTGAAACAGAACCAATTGGTAAGCAAATGTTGATTCGTATTTTTTTAATGAAAATGTGGTATTTTATCGTGAACAATAGTGATGCATTCTTGCAAAATACCACTTGCTTCAAGTAGGTGTTTAATGAAACAGTTAACAACTATTATGTCGATAATTCTCCTTGGGAGTAGGGTTGCCATACGTCCCGGAAAACCGGGATTGACACCGGTTTTTAACTTCTTGTTCCGGTATCCCGAAAAATGTTTTCGGGACGTCTATATGTCCCCGGGACTTAAAGGTAATGTAGATTTATTAATTTAGATATAATAATTATTTCATTTTTAATTTGGATGATTTTATCTCTAAGTACAATTTTAATTGTAATCGATTAACAATCAATAATAAAAAAATTATTTGTAATTTACACATTTACCTAAATATATCACGAGATATATCATATATTTTATTTCACATAAATATTTTAAAATATTATATTGCCGGTCATTAATAATGGTCTATTCAATAAAATTAAATTATATAAAAAGTATATTACTCAAAAATGTGTTTGTTTTGTCCCGGTTACGCCTTATACGTTTATAGCAACCCTACTTTGAAGATACAAAACTTACTTATACTTCAAAATTTGAAGGAAAGGACCAAGCGTATATCCCGTTGATACCATTTTTAGACTTCAAGCGGCTAAATATTTTTCTCTTAACTTACAAGAGAAATTTACAATAAAAGTTTTGTACAAGTGTTTTATTTTCACAACATATATTAACCTCAAGACGTGCACGGAGTTTCAAATCGGGGGTAATGAATATTTTACCCACCCAATTTTTTTTCATACAAATGGTCTAAATATGACTGGTATATCTATTGAAGAATCCTGCAGTGACTGTGTTTTTTGTGACCTATAACTTATTTAACACAGTAAAAATTAGCTTGGTAATTGAATACACTTCGGATAATCAACTTAATTTTTTGTTGAGCATTATACAATGGTCACCTTGGACTGTTTGGCCTTAAAAATTATATTTAAACTGTCTAAGGACAGCAAGAGAAAATCTTGCTGCCCCTGTATTCATGCCTATGATCAGTGGCGTATTTTCAAATTTTTTGTGATGGGGAGGGAGTCTAAATATTAAGTACCTAAAGTTTATAATATAAAAAAACACTTAAGTTATAATGTAATAATTATATTATTTATATTATATTATGTATATTTCACTACTATTATGATTTATTAATACAAATTAATAATTTTTTATAATAAAAAAGGTAAACGTCTTTTTTTTCTCGTCAGTTCTTCAATAACTTCTTCCGGTTTTGTTAAGTAATTTTTATTTATCGATAACATCGCTAAAACCATTCAATCTTCCCTATAAACAAAAAAATAAACAAAGTGTTTAATTGTAATTTGTAAATAATAAGAATATTTTTTAAGTTTATTATAATTTACCTCTGACATGGAATTCCTCAGATATGTTTTTATTCTTTTTAAATTTGAAAATGTTCTTTAATTTGTTGCAGAGGATATAGGAAGCGTGACTAAGATTTGAAGAAGTTTAAATATATTTGGATAAATTAACTGGTTACACATAGCCATAGCTTCTAGAGCATTATTTGGTTTCTCTATTGTTTGTATGAGTTTTCTCTGCCATAATTTGTATTCTGCTTCAATAATTTGATTTTGAGATCCATCATTCTGTAAATCATCAATATATTTATTTGAAAGAGTTATAATATCTTCGATGGTACCATTTTCCCTAAATAGAGAATCGATCGATGAACATTGAACCTTTCTTCTAGCTCTGTAATAAATTTGTCAAGATAAGGAATAAAAATTGATGCTCGATAATATTAATGGTATATTGCATTTATTAGTTTGTTTTTTTGTTAATCTTGGAATTTTAATTTCAATATCAAATTTTTCGGCTACTACTTTCACTTTTTCAAATATTTCCTTGAAAAAATCATCGGTGTGTGTTCGAAATTCTTGTAATTCTTTTTGTGTATCATTTGCTAATTGCACAGTCAATTTAAGATCGATATTTGATTTTTGTAGAATCTTTGAAAGTGGTAAACCTATGCTAAAATCTTTGTTTAGTACGAATAATATCACAAAATCTATATTTAAAATAGAACTTCTAAGACGTTTTGCTTTATTCGAAGTATCGTTATCGTCCCATTCCGAAATTGTATCCAATACTTCAATGACATACTCATAAAGTTCCATAAAATCGTTTATTGCGTGAAATTGTTCTATTCATCTAGTTTCACAAGTTTTTTTCAGCGACTTTTTTGTGGATGTTTCTGATGAATTTTCAATAAGATATTGAAGAATTGATTTCGTCGTTGAACGGCGACGACGCAACAAAAATAATCAAAAGTTAAACCCAAGTTATTTATACAATCAATATTGTATATATTTTTTTTTTATAATAGAAATATTAAAAACCCATAATATAAAATTGATATTATCTTTCTCGGTACCTACGTACCAAGTTATTTATGACTTTTTAAATTTTTTTCTGGAGGAGGGTCGAGACCCGGGCCCCCCTCCGTAAATACGCCACTGCTTATGATAAACCTGATTTATAGTTTTTATAAAGCTAATTTCCTTATAATTAATCATATACTTACTAGAACCCTGGTTTTAAATTAAAAAAAAAACAAAAACATTTGCACATTTTTATGGAGACCAATATTGTTTATGTATGTATGCATAAATTATTATAATACAAATTTATCAATATAGAATTGTTTTTCAAATTTTATAATAATAGTATTTAAACAAATATTAAAACTTATGACTCAAATCCTAATTCAAATACAATTTTAAAATGTTCTTAAAGTTTTATTAATTACAAATATAGTTAGGTATTGATTACATCTAAATTAATTTTTAGGTACTGATAAGAATGGTAAACCTGTATTTTTAAAAAATATTTGGCCATCAAGATCACAAATCCAAATTGTTGAAAAGCAAACAGTTATTCCTGCTATGTTTCGGGATGTCTATGCTCGCATTGAAAATGGTTCTAATGCTTGGCAATGTTTACAAGCCCCAGATGGTCAATTATACCCATGGGATGCGTCATCAACTTACATAAAAAACCCGCCATTTTTCAGCGGAATGACAAAAGTAAACTTTTAAAATAAATATTTGGTTTTATAATTTAAACAATAATGTAAATATTTTATAATTTTGTAGACATTACCTGGGGTTCGATCTGTAAAAGGAGCACATGTGTTACTATTTCTTGGTGATTCTGTAACAACTGATCACATCAGTCCTGCTGGTAGTATTGCAAGGAATAGTGCTGCAGCTCGTTATCTAGCTTCAAAAAAGTAAGCAACAAAATTTTATTAGATTTAATAATTTGAATTTAAAAATTTAATTATTTCTTAGCATTACACCAAAAGATTTCAACTCATATGGCTCAAGACGTGGAAATGATGATATCATGGCTAGAGGAACCTTTGCAAACATACGATTAGTAAATAAACTTGTCAAGAACACTGGACCAAAAACATTGCACATTCCAAGTGGACAAGAGGTTATTCATATTTATATTTTTCATGACTAAAATATACTAAAAATTATTGTTTTCATTATTTTAGTTGGACGTCTTTGATGCTGCTCAACTTTATGCTAAGGAGGGAAGATCACTCATTGCAATTGTTGGCAAAGATTATGGATCAGGTTCATCAAGAGACTGGGCAGCTAAAGGACCATTTTTATTAGTAATATATTTTACGATTAAACTATAATTAATATAAATTGTATTTTTGAGGCAATCCATCAATTTTGTTTTTAGGGAATTAAAGCCGTTATTGCTGAGTCTTATGAACGTATTCATCGTTCCAACTTGGTTGGTATGGGAATAATTCCATTGCAATTCCGTCAAGGAGAAAATGCTGAAACTTTGAAACTTACTGGTCATGAAGTATATGACATAGATATTCCACAAGATTGCAAACCATTGCAAGAAATTCAAGTCAAAGTAAGTAAATGAAAAAGTAATTTTTATATAGTTAATGCTTGAGAGTAATATCACAAAGAAAGAAATTATATATTTTATATATTATATTACATTTTATTCTATTTTGCAGACTAATACAGACATTGTATTTAGCGCAATTTTGCGTTTTGACACTGAAGTAGATATCTTGTACCACAAACATGGAGGAATTTTGAACTATATGATCAGAAAAATGTTAGATTAAAAAAATGAGACAATACTATATTATATAGGTATAATATAAAGATGTCCATGACCATATTTTTTTAATTATAATTATATATATATATTATTAATCAAGCATAGATGATGTATTTTAAACTTTTATACAACCAAATCAAATTTATGTGTGTCAAAATAATGAAAATTAATTTTTTTTATTAATATCTGATGAATAATTTATAATGCAGAATAAATGTTGAATTATTTGATACAAAGTACTGATTTTTTGTGAATTATATGATATAATAAAATACTGATAATATAATATTTTATAATACATAATATATATATGTAATTTTTGTTAGTTTTTTCTGAAAAAACGTTGGAACATTATTTCGATATAAAATAGTTTTGGTTTTTTTTTATTAATACTTTATTGGTAAGTATGTTACATAGTCCAACTGCTGCTGTTACTTGACTAAACATACTGGAATGAAACTTGTAATTAGTTATAAGTAGAATTTAAATTTATATATATTTAATCATCAAATTATGTACATAAATACGAGTGAAAAATTGGAAACATGTATTACACTAATATGATTTATTTATTATTAATGTATGGTTTTATGGGTGCTTAACTGAAAATTAATTTTAAAAATATAGTAAATTGTAATACATCTAAAGTACAAAATTAATCATCTTGATTGCTAGTGATGCAAATTTTTTTTAAACTTTCAAATATAGATGACTGCCAATTTAGTCTTAAATTTTACTATACTAAGTGAATGATATTAAAACACAGTATTGGCAATTATAAGGGAGGGAAATATAAGAATGATTAGATAACGTGGTGACACTCGAGAAGGTAAGTTTACAAACAACATTGTGAGAAAAAATTGGAAAAATGTTAAATAGTATTGTCACAAAATTCGAACATAAAAAAGGCCTGTTTTTTTATTTATGTAAGAATCATGGGCGCAACTAAAGCTAAAATATTGGGGGTGCTGAAATTGCTGAAAATAAAATAAAATGGTATTTAACTGTAATTACTAGTGATGGGCTTTATCTAATAGTACTATCGAATTATTCGATAATTTTTCAAAATATTCGATTATTCAATTGTTCAAATTATTCCAAACATTTCGGACTATTCGATAATTTAAAATTATTCAATTATTTGATAGTTTACGACTTCTGAATTATTCAGTAAAATTTGAAATCAGCTTAGCTTAAATAATGTTTATTTTATTTTGAGCACAGTCTTATAATGCTTATAAAAATAACAAAACGTTTACGTTTTGATTTTTTATTCGATATATTTGAATAGTTTTTTAGGGAAATACTATTTGGTCATACAAAATAATCGATAGTTTATGCTTACTATCGAATACTATTCGATAGTGTCCATCACTAATAATTACTATAGATTATAAAGATCTGAAAAAAGAAATAGGAGTGATACATTTGAACTCAGGGGCGCTAAAAAACCCTATTACACCCAATATAATGATATATATCATAGGCGTGCCCAGACTTTAATTTCAGATGCTGCATATAAAATTAAATAGCCCGTTTTTAACAATCGGTTAAATCAAGTTGAAACAGTTAAAATTATTGATCAATTTTTACATAGGCTGTGTTATTGTTACCAAATTGGCTATGATAGTGTAATAATTTTTTTTTTAACAATTGACAAATGTAAATATACTTCCTTACATTTATTCACTAATTCTGAAAACACCAAGTTACAATTACTATCAGACTTTATTAGTTGCTTAACATAAAATCATAGAATAATTAGTCACTATGTTGACACCCATGAAATACATGGCTTCACGAAGAAAACAGTCACGGTCATCTGAAACTGAACAAAAACAACATAATTCATAATTCGAATACTATTACGCCAAATAGCTATATAGTTAATAACTTCGTCTGAGATTAAATTAATGTTAAACATTATTATCACTTATCAAATAGAAATTCGATATTCTGATTATTGAGATATTCAATCGATAACTGAGTTATTTTTAGAATGTACGTTTGGTTTTCCAGTGAAAGCGGCAATGCGCCGGCTAGGTTAGAGTTGGCGGTATGTGAAATTTGCCCACCGGTATTCGGTATGTGTTTACATATCGGTTTTTAACGGTATACCGGTATGTCGGCATATATCAATAAATACCGTGTAGCCGATAAATACCACTTGTTCGGTAATTACCGGTCACTTGGTAATAATTGCTCGCTTGGTATATATCGCTTGCACAGTAATTACCGCTTGCTCAGCATATATCGCTTGCTCGGTATATTCTGCTCGCTCTGTATATACTAGCCACTCGGTAAATGTCATTTAAACAATAAATAACTCTATTACCGTTTTTAAGCGAAAAATTGATAGAATATCGTTGAGATTTGAGAGAATATTTAATTTTATTATTATTTATGATCCCAAGAATAGAAGCCAAGAATAGAATAGTGATTTATCTTATGATAATCAGATAATATAATTTAAGATGAGCTGGTGGAGTTTGGTGTCCCACTCTCATTGGTTATAGTAGTTTTTTCATTCCTTAGCCGGTCTACATGAATAGTTCTTAATAAATACTATAAAAGTATAAAATATCATGCCGTTTAATAAACGTTTGATTCATTTTGCGCTATCGACTATCCTGTAAATGTATTTTTATTATACGCCATATGCCCTTGCGGCTTACTGTGTAAATAGTGTATTAAATTGTCATATTTATTATTTTTGTCTTTTGATAATAATTACCGATCCACGGTAAATAACAATAAAACGGTAAATACCGTATATTCAGTGTATATATATCATACATTCGGTATATATATAGTATATACTAAATATTCGGTAAATACCGAAAGATCTGTATACCGGTTAGTGTAAGATTCCGATATTTATAAATACCGGTAGGTCGAAATAGCGGTGACTCGCCGGTATACCGAAAATACCGCCAACTCTAGGCTAGGTTAGAGCTAACTTGCTAACAGTAATAACCAAGGCTCAGAACTTTATGCGCTAAAAAGTACTAAAATATGAGCATACATATACGTTAAAAAACATCAAAATATGCGGTATAATATGCAGTAGAAAATTGGAAAATAATTGCTTAAAAAAAATAGACGGACTACTGACTAGCAGTGGCGTAACTGGGAAAAAACCTAGGGGGGGGGCAATATAATATATTTATTATTACCAAAACCCTGACACTCCTCCCCCTCACCAGTTAAAACATATTTTTATTGCATGTATTTTATACACTATATCTAATTGTTTGATTTTACATAAGTCTTTTAACTCATTTTATGGTTTAGATAAACATAAATTGTAGATAGCATGTACTAGGTACCAATATTGTTAAATAAGATCCATAAATTCAATAATAAAATGTGCTATTTGTACTGTTGGATTATCTGGGGGGGGGGGGGCAAAATTA